GTGAAGTGTCTTGCCCAAGGACACAACGACTGGACGGGGGATCGAACCAGTGACCTTCTGGTTCCAGGATGACTCCCCTAACCACTCCCCCACAGCCGCACCCCAGTGCAGGTCCACTGGGAAACAGCAAGTTTCTCAGTGGACCTGCGCTCAAAAATGCATCCTAGGTGGAGTAGTCRAACACAGATCCACTGATCCTTTAACACAGAGCATCTTCAGAAGACAAGTTGATAAAGTAAATTTTTAAAATCTGTGTTGTTCGATACAGCACTGTTCAATACAGTTTGATATGGTTCGGTACAGTTCGATACGGGTACATGTATTGTTGCACCCCTAATATATATAATCTCCTTCCATGAATCTGTTTTTTTTTTCATAATTTTCCTACATAATAACTTTTAACTCTAACCCTGCAGGATCTTAATTTCCTCATTGGGAGATATTTAACCCCGCTGCAGAAAGAGACCTTCCTCTCTCAGGATGAGGTATGTGAAATGTTACCCATGACTCTCTGAAAAAATAGCTTTTCACTTAAATGCCAGCACCGGTAAAATATTCTAATAAAGGTTGGTTGCGTAATAATGTGAAGTGTGGCTGTCTAGAACAAGAGGGTTGGAAAATGAGGAGGGTGAAGGTGAGGTGTGCATAATAAGATGATTTACATGCATTTTCACGAATAAAATGTGTATGGTTGTATCTCATTTAGAATTGTTTTACATTAACTGTTGCAAAGGATTAATGCAAGAATATTAAAATATTATGAAGTACTTATACCTTTTGTTTTTCCAGCTGGATGTTCTGTTTGGAAACTTACCAGAAATGGTGGAATTCCAAGTTGAATTCCTCAAGACCCTAGAAGATGGGACCAGACTGGTTCCGGATCTGGAAAAGCTTGAGAGTGTGGATCAATTTAAGGTACATCTTTTTGTTGACACGTGACAAGCATTCAGAAGTATCAGCATTTTTTAACAGTTGAACTCTTTTCACAGAAAATTCTCTTTTCTTTGGGAGGCTCGTTCTTGTACTATGCTGATCGTTTTAAAATTTATAGTGCTTTCTGCGCAAGTCACACCAAAGTCCCAAAAGTTCTTGTAAAGGGTAAGTAGATGTTCTCTTGGGCTGAAAAGAAAGGGTGCATGTACTCTGTCAACCATCTACCATATATTGCACGTTAGCATAAATCTGCTCTGCAGTATTCAACCGCTCTGTTGTCCATCTGACCCTACCATACTTTCAAGCTCGAAGTTCTCAAGGTTAAAAGCCCTGCAAGACTGTATGATGTGTAATTATTCATGTTTGAATGGTTCGTTCTGTACCCAGAACACCCACTCTCTTCATAACTTCAGTGGATTGCTTTGTTTGCCGCATTTTTATTCAGGTGGTCAACCGGTTGTCATTCATGCAGTTCTTTACATGTATTTCTGTAAAGCACTGAAGAGGAAACACGGTTGTTGATTAGACTTTGAAATACACTTTTTTTGTACATTTCAGCCAAAACGGACCCCTATTTCAAGGCCTTTCTTGTTGAGCGGAACCCCAAGCAGCAGCACTCCTCCACCCTTGAATCATACCTAATCAAACCCATACAGAGGGTCCTAAAGTATCCCCTCCTGCTGAGAGAGCTCTACTCTCTCACAGATCCAGATAGTGAGGAACACTACCATTTGGATGGTAAGACATCTTACCATCTGAAGACATAAAGTCTTTCTGACATTAGAAAACTCAAGTGAAAACGTAGCTTTCCAACAGCTCAGCTCTAATAGTTTTATTTCCTCCTTAAGTTGCTATCAAAGCCATGAACAAGGTTGCCAGCCACATCAATGAGATGCAGAAGATCCACGAGGAGTATGGAGCAGTGTTTGATCAGCTCATCATTGAGCAGAGCAGTGAAAAGAAAGAGGTAAAAATGGACAAATGTGACTTCACTCTGTTCTAGTCCCTACGTATTTACTGTTTAGTAACTGTTCACTTTTTTTGATTCAACTGCCAGGTTGCTGATCTGTCGATGGGTGATCTGCTTCTACACAACACAGTGACATGGATCAACCCACCTGCTTCCTTAGGAAAATGGAAGAAAGAGCCACAAATGGCTACATTTGGTATGTCAGATGGGATTATAGATATGATTGCGTTTCTTGACACAAATCAGCACCTGGTTCATCTAATATATGTTATGGTGATACTAATTGTAATGATACATTCTATTTTTAACAAAAGTTATTTTTATATTTGCCACATATCACACTGAAATAAGAGTCACAGATATATAAATATGTCACAGATTTTTTGGGAAATTCTATATATACAACAATACTAATGATCATAGTAAATTTATCAAAAAAAATCATAATCTGTGTTGTTTCTGGTTCAATTATACATGGTGATTTGACAAGTCATCAAAAGTCCTCCATGATTAACGGATGTATCCCCCCTCCACCCTCATCATACCTTGCCCCACCCTTATTTATTCCAGTGTTTAAAACTGCTGTGGTGTTTGTGTGCAAAGAAGAGTCCAAGCAGAAAAAGAAAATGGTAAGTGTTCACTCAAGCAGAAAGCCGTTTACTCAACAAAAATATCCATCTTTTTAAGTTATTACCTCTGTGAAAAACAAAGACACAAAAAGCATTTACCAATTTCCAAGCATGGCTTTGAGTACACAGCAGATTTTCTCCCTACAGATCTGTTTTTAAGTCTTGATCTAAAATGCTTCACTCAAGCAGAAAGCTCATCTGGGGTTAGGCATTGCTAATTAGCCTATGCTATAAAGGTTTTAGAGTACGGTGTTGTGAATACTTGACACTTGTCTTTATGCAAAAAAAAAAAAGATGTGAAATAACAAAGTATATTCATCGGATTTAAGGGTGGCTCCCATCGAGCCTCTGTATCATCAGAAGAAAAAGATCCCTTCCGATTCCGTCACATGATCCCAACAGATGCTCTTCAAGTCAGACCTTTAAACAATGCAGGTAATTACAGTCAATAGAGCTACAATATCATTGAGGTTTGGATTGTTTAAATTGTGTAGTGACAAATCTCTTGTTAATCACACGACATTTGTATCCTACAGATGGTGAGAGTTCTGCTATGTGTGAGATTGTTCACACAAAGTCAGAGTCGGAGGGAAGACCAGAGAGGACATTTCACCTGTGCTGTAGGTGAGGATTTCTCCAAGGGGAGACTGATTTTCTCCGCAGATTAAACTCACCGGCTACTGATACAGTCGTGCCTGCTTCTTATCAACAGAATGAAAAACTGATAGCATTCCCTTCTATCTTCCTCAGCTCTCCAGAGAGCAGAAAAGATTTTCTGAAGACGGTCCATTCCATTTTGAGGGAAAAGCACCGCAGACAGCTTCTAAAAACTGAGAGTTTACCCCCCAGCCAGCAGTATGTGCCATTTGGAGGGAAGCGGCTCAGTGCCCTGAAGGGAGCCCGTCCAGTCATAAATAGAGCCGGTAAATGCCAGTCAGTGCTTGCATTCACCCTACAGTTCCAAGTGTCCCAATTCCATCTCTGTCCTAAATCACAGACACAATCATTGTTGAATCCAGGTTTTTAGTTCATAGTTCCAGCTACTTACATTTCCTTAACATCTTCCAAGACATCTACAACTAAATAAAACTATTTGTATTTGAAGGAGCTTTAACTCTTTTTAACTCTGCAGCCTCGGCCCCAACCAGGACGCTGGGCAGAAGAAAGCTGGTTCGCAACCGTTTCACCATCGACACAGACATCGTTTTTGATGGAGACGCAGAACACCAAGACTTTGTGTCGCCCAAGGAATTCGACTCAAAACGGCTTCAGCAGAAGGATGAACAAGAGCAGTCTGAGCTAACAGGTGACACAGACCGTTGGGTAGAAGAGCAGTTTGACCTAGACGAATATGAAGACCAGGAAGAAGTCAAGGAGACAGATATCCTAAGTGACGACGATGACGAGTTTTGCCAGACACCCAGATCCCCATCTGAGGAGGGCGATTTGGAAAGCCCCATGATGGCTTTGTCCCTGGAGGGTTCAGGAATAGAGGAACACAAGAGCCTCAACTCCCAAAATGCCAGTGATGACCATGTGAAGATATGTGACATGAAGAAGGGGAGCTCCGAAGATCAGAATCAAGCAGAGGATGATGAGATTTGGGTACGAAGGGAGCTATCGGGTTCATCCCCAGACTGTGCCACGTAACAATTGAAAGGAAAGGAAGTATCTTTACATGGGCTGCACAACTGTCACTCATCACAAACAATGCATGAGCATTGATGTATATCACACAGGTAGTAAAATAAACAGAATACTCTTCGTTACCTTAATTATGCTGAATGCTTTTTTTGTACAAAAACGGTTTGTGGAGCAATAAAGAAATTCAGTACGAGTGAGCCCAGACACTGTTTCTTAAATGTCAAGTGTTAGCTATGAGACATGAACTATGGTACAATCATTGAATCTAATCACTTGCTTTGATTGGCATGGTTTGCACATTTGGGCAGCATCCTATAAACCTGCCTGCTGTTGCCAAATTTGAGTATTGTGAGAACAATAAATATTGTTTTGTCTGTGTGACTCAGAGATATTATCATAGTTAAGGGCTGTATATTATTTGTCCTTAAAGTCATAGAATAATAAATTTCAAATGGCAGTCTTGTCTTGTATAGTTTACTGTACTTGTACATTTTCATATAAATATACACTGACTTGCGTGATGAATTAGATTTTTTTTCTTTCTTTTACTGACTAGTTTAGTCCGGAATATATTTTATCTTGTTACATTTAATTATTAAAGTAATAACACTATTGTCACAGAAGCAATGTGATTTAAATTTGTTTGAACATAATCCTGTTTTACTTGAAATTGTATTTGCTGTTTTATTATTTTTACTACTGTGAAAATTTTGTTGTTTTACCTATTTTCTCTTCAGTATTGACGCTGACACACACTGACACTTCACATGCACAGTCTGTACTGTACATACACATTTCAGTTTATTTAGAAAGTCTTGTGAGTTCATGATTTTTTAATTCTTTACAAAATAATGGTTTCATTTATTCATGTGTGATTTGCTAGCAAGCATTTTTTTTACAAAGAAAGTCCAAATTTGCTCCATGCAATCAAGGGAAAAGTCTTGCAGAATGTCTGAAAAGTGAAAGTCAACTTACTTTTAAAAACTTATCATGCTATTTGACTGCATTTGTATTATTGTGTATATATAAAAATGTATTGATATCATAATAAATACATTTGTTTCCTACTTGCGATTCAAAATGCATGTTTGTTATGATTTGTGTTAAGTTGCAAATTGTTCTTCACGTCTCATTAACTGCTTTGCTGAGATTTCGGAATTATGTTCATTGTATTCAGGCATGCCTGGGGAAAAAAATAGGCATTTAATCATTTTTCTCCTGAGTCAAAGCAAGACACAAGACGCAGACTGCAATTGTACAACAAAAGGGAAAATTTGAATATTTTAAAAACCCATTTAGGCGTTTACAATCCTGACCTGATTGAGTTATAAAAAAGCACCCAAATCTTATTTATTAAAGTAGTCAAGTAATTGCATTATGTAGGTTTTGTTTAAAAAGGTGATCCGCTAACTCAGAAAGCGAAAGAGGTTCATAGACTAAAGATTATAGTAATCATTAAAGGGCACAATATGATCCTGTCCACAGTTGTAAATCATTTGGGCTATAAAACAAAAAAAAAATCCCTGCAAAAAATCACAGGTACAACATGGGTGACTAAGACCTTTTATATGTCATCATTGTTTAATCTTTCCTAAAGTAAAAGTGACCTTAAAATCACACATTACGTTTTGAGAGAGTCTACTTGTCATTTCTTTAGATTAAGGATCTTTTTTTATTTATTTAATAGTCTTCAAGGATTAATTAAACAGCTATTTATTTTTCGCTGGCTTTTACTGACACTGCAATTCATGTAGGTAAACAAAACTTCCTGAGACCTGACAATAATTTTACATACCGAATAATGTTTTGCCACTCTAGTCATCTCTTTGTCCAGCTAATTTTGACATTCAAATCTAAAGGAAGTTGTGAAAACATGTAATTTAATACGAGAAGTTGAGTGCAAGATGACTGGACTTGTTTTATAATGTTTACATAAGAAGAAATACACACTGAAATGATAGAAAGTATTTTATTGAAATTTGTTTCAACTTTTAATAAGAGAATTTACAGCCACATGTAATTACATTTGCAGACAACAGGTGGCGCATTGAGTCTACTGCACATTTTCTGTTTTTCACACCACACCAACAAAAACAAAGCCCTTGTAAAACCTTGCAACTTTTATATGATCTCAGTCTAATAAGATTAATTTTTTAATAGATTTAGTTTACTTCAGCAATTAAAATTACTTTAAAGCACAACGTTTATACATTAAGCTTCACCTCTAGGTTTGCGAACTTATCTGTTTACATTCAAAGCACCTGAAAATGTGATGACAGTATCAGTCTTCAAACCTGCTCAACAGGTTTTTCAGTTTCTGTTCCTGTTTTATGACCTCTCTGGCACATCTCATCTCTCTGTCTGTGTTACTCTGTTCTCACTCATGCTTCCCAGAAACAAGTTTATCAGTAGGGTGTTGCATGTCATAGACCAAACAAAGTTGAAACACAGGAGTGGCTGATGTGAAACCACCTACCGTTTTGATCAATGTTCTTATCTGCATTTAGAATATAGGCTACTCGAGACATGTTTAAGGATTTAGTTAGAGAAGTTCAAAAGGCTATTTTGAAGACTGGCTATTAAGGTTTTGGTTTAAGTTCTCGGATTTAGGATGAAAAAAGTCCTGTTTGATCACATCAGATATCTGATTTCTTCTGCATTTAGATTTTGTCTCAACTATTGATACATTCTCAGGATAACAAAGCTATCCAACTACATGTCGCACATCTTTAAAAGTACACAACGTTATGAAAGGTCTAGCAAAAAGGAAAAAAATCTATCCAACAATTCTGAGTCAGTACTTTTAATAGATGCTAGATAATGAAACACAACATAGCCACAACATGTCTCAGTCGAATACACATTAGCATATTTGTTGAAAATAAAGACAATCAGGTTTGTCAAGTTTAAGAGGAAATGTTAAAAAATACAGCTAACTGTTGCTGGAAAAGCAAATTATATCATACGGGGACAAAACAAAGCTTTGGACTATGATGTCTTTTGAGATGAGCATAACTTTTAAAGCAAAGTCCAACATTTTAATATCGTAAGATTTTATTTTATACATTTTTTTTCCGATAACAACAATTGACATGGTTAAAATTTTACTGCTTGTCACATATTTTTGAAGTCATTCCCACAACATTAATGTCTCTAAATCAAGCTACCAAGACTTTCCTGTGGTATGACAGTTAGTTTTGTAATGAATGAAACTGGTTTCTGTGTCATGCATGATAAACAGTGACGACAATTGTTTTTAGAGATAGCTGATGAAAAATGCAGTGCAGTTTTCTTGGCATGTACCAAAAGCACTGCTGTTACTCAAGATTATTCTTTCAAGCCAGTAGGCTGGCATTACATGCATTGCAGGACTTTTTTATACTTAGATCTCTGAACGGAACAGAAAGGACAGACTGGGTTTTGTCTGCATTTGACAAAAGGAGACAAAACAAGACAAGACCACTTTTTTCTTTACGCCATGAAAGCAAAGCTGGAAATTTTGGCTCTGGTCCTGGGATTTATAGGCTTGTTTGGGACAATCACAGTTACTGCACTGCCCACATGGAAGGTATCTGCCTTCATTGGAGCCAACCTCATTGTCATGGAGGAACTTTGGGAAGGCCTGTGGATGACCTGCTACAGACAGATGAACCTCCGTATGCAGTGCAAGGTCTACGACTCACTGCTGATTCTACCTGCAGAGCTGCAAGCAGCCAGGGGCCTCATGTGTGTTTCCATAGCCCTGGCTGTCATCTCTCTGGTTGTCACAGGTTTTGGGATCAAGAGGACCAACTTGTGTGGTGACAACACGAGAAACAAAAACATTACTCTAGCTATCGGGGGAAGTTTGTATCTGATATCCTTTTTGACCACACTTATCCCCATTAGTTGGGTGGGTCATTCTATTATCAGACAGTTCTACAATGCCGCAACCCATGATGCTCAGAAACGTGAGCTTGGACAGGCCCTCTATATCGGCTGGGCAACTTCTGCTGTTCTGCTGGTCACTGGAATCATCCTCTTGGTCAGATATGATAAACGAAGATCAGACGAAGAACAGGTCTACAATGGAATCTATCTCATGGAAGGGAAGAACGTTCCAAACCAGGACACTATCTACCAGCCGAAAACAGAATCCAACATGTTCAAGCAAGAATATGTTTAAATAACCATATGTACTGTTCTGTGTTATTAGTATTTGTCTTTGAAAATGTAAAGATGCTTCCTGAAAAATATAATATCACAAAACCTGTTGTACTAATGCCTGTATTATTTATACTGTGAATTAATAATTTCTCTATTGTTTATTAAGTTTTAACATTTTAAATTAAATCAAAACAATTGTTTGTGATTTTTGTATGCACAAAAGTATTTTGATATCAGTATGTAATACATTTGCTATTCTTTTTGGTTTTAATTAAAATTATATTTTTTTGCTCAATTATTTTTTTTAACTTTTCTAACCTCTAATCTTTCTTGCCAATTATTCACATCAACCAAATCAATTTATTGCATTTATTAATAAAATGGTTGGTTTGTACAAAAGGCTGCTTCAGTATTTTTATTTCCATACTTTTTGCTACCCAAAATGAATACAAACATTAAACTAACTGATTCAGGTACTCCAAAATATCTTTTAGTTTTTGTTGTTTGTTTTTTTGCAAATAAAATTTGATGTTAAACAATAAAATGAAATGTTGTGGGCAGATTATTTCCAACTACATGCAGTGTGCAAGAGGGTATAAACGTGTGACAACAATGCAGTGACAATGGTAGGCAAATGAAACCAAACCTCCTTAAGTTTCTGCAATTAACACCTCAGCTTACGTTAGACATGGGTGGTTTTCCACCTGTGAGTATCAGCTTTCAATTTGTTAGCAAAAGATAAGTTACCTACATTCATTTAACATTTTAGCAATCATCAAAACAGTAGTTTCTAACCTGGGGGATCCCAGAGAACACAGAGAGCCCAAAATCTTGTCTGTTCAGAGGTTGTAAAAATATCAGTTTATTGTTTGTGTATAAAAATCACTAATGCAAGTCATTTAAATAGTTAAAACTCTGTATAACCCAGTTTTTTTCTAAATAATGGTTTGTAACTATTCAGTTTATTTTTTAATTCTTTTGAGGTAGCCTAAAAAGTAAGAAAGTAAAACAGAGGGGCTTTGAGAAAAAAAAAGAGGCTGGGAACCACTGGTCTATAATATAGTTGATTAAATTACACTGTGCTTTGTTTTAACAAATATTGTGTACCAAAGATTAACTGTTAAGTTAAATGTTCATTCTTACACACATGAAAGACAACCAGCTTGTTTCTTCCATCCTGTGGAATTTTCTTTAAAAAATAAAAAGAAACAAACAGTTAACTGATAATACTGTAGCAAAAGTTTAATTTGAAAACAAAGCTAGCAGCACTCCTCGGTCAGTCAGCATTTTTTCTAAAGCAGATTAACCAGTGCTGTCACATGTAGAGAGGATGTGAAATACATGGTCAAACAGGTTTTGGATCATTAGCACATTTTTGTGGGTGTATAAGTTCCTTTACCTGTTCTGTTCTTCAGACTTGTTTTGTCAAGCTGTCAGAGTGCAACCAGAAAGCGCATCTTTGGCTTTTTGGTGTTAGCAGCAATGGCCACATACACAGCTTACAGTGGCTATACCAAGCCACCAATGTCTTATGCTGGATCTTACTACACAGAAAAACCACCTGTGCCGACGACCTATTATCCAGATTACCAAGCTGACTCTGTGCTGGAAGAAAAAGAGAAAACCGAGAGGAGAAAACGTCGTAACGCGATTTGTTGTGAGGTTGTGGCTCTCGTCATCGGCTTCATTGGACTGATCGGAGTGGCAGCAGTGACAGGCTTGCCCATGTGGAAGGTAACAGCTTTCATTCAAGAAAACATCATTGTGATGGAGACCCGTTGGGAAGGCCTGTGGATGAACTGCTACAGACAAGCCAACATTAGGATGCAGTGCAAAGTGTACGACTCTCTGCTGTACCTGCCACCAGAACTCCAGGCTTCCAGGGGACTGATGTGCGCCTCTGTGGCTCTGACCTCATTCGCCCTCATTGTTTCGGCAGTGGGAATGAAGTGTACCAAAGTTGTGGATCATCGTGCTCGGACAAAGCACATTGTTCTCGTGACTGGAGGCTGTCTCTTTCTCCTGGGCTGTGTCACTACCTTGATCCCTGTGAGTTGGACCGGCCGTGTTATCATCGCCGACTTCTACAACCCACTTCTGATCGATGCCCAGCGGAGGGAGCTTGGAGAGGCTCTGTACATTGGTTGGATGACATCTGGTCTGCTTTTTGCGGCTGGAGTTATTCTCCTGTGCCGCCACGCGCCTCGCACCCAGATTCCAGATGAGACAGAAGTATATTATACTAATGGAAGTGTCTACCAACCTCCATACACATACCAGCCGTACACCTATCAGCCGGCGTACACCTATCAACCTCCATACTCTGAACCTCCACCAGGAAGTGTAGCATACACACCAAGTCAATACTAAGCAATTTTTTGGACTTGATTTTTAAACCTACAAAGTTTTGTCTCAAACGATAAGAAGACTCAAGTAACTGAAACCGATAGGTCATCGCATTTTTGAAAAGGGCCTAGTGTTTTGTATAGATTGAAAGTCGTGAATATGTTAATGTTTTAATTATGAGGAACTGTGTTGATTTTTCATTTATTATTATTTTTTCTTACATAAACACACGTTTGTATATTCAACCTATAATATTACAAAAGTAGTTCATTTGTGATTGTGGCTTTACAGATTCTGTCGCTGTTTCTTATTTGGTTATTAATTAGGATTTTACCAGAGTGCAATGATGATTTATGTTTAGTTTCAATTGTTTCTAGTCGATGTACATATTTTTTTCAAAATATTAACCTAAGTATAATATCAGTTTCTGTTTCAAATAAAGAAATGAGTGACAAAAGTGCTTTGCAATCTTTATTTAGTTTTATTGATCAGTATTTCATGTCTGGTGAAAAAAAATAAAATAAAATAAAAACGTCTGTCTGGAGTTTTAGCATTTCAATCGAAACCACCTGCTCCACAATAGAAAGTTATGTTATTTGCACTGCTGTCAGATGAAATGCTACTGAACTGGTAAGCCCAGTAAAAGCATCTCCACCCACAAAGTCACAAAGAGACATCTCAACCTACAGTAAGCTGTGCCTTCCAGACTTGTTTCATACAAACACAACAGACCTTAACAAAATTATTGCAAAAAGTAGCATAAAGATGTAGCTATTTGTTCCATCATTTAAAATGTGTGTAAACATTTTCACACACACACATACATATACATAT